CTGAAAAAACAAGATTTATTTATTTATTTTTAAAGATTTTATTTATTTATTTGACAGAGAGAGACACAGAGAGAGAGGGAACACAGCAGGGGGAGTGGGAGAAGGAGAAGCAGGCCTCCCGCTGAGCAGGGAGCCCGATGCAGGGCTCGATCCCAGGACCCTGGGATCATGACCTGAGCTTAACGACTGAGCCACCCAGGCGCCCTAAAACAAGATTTATTTTAAAGCAACATGACTATCACTTTGTCATGCAGGGGAAGGGGGAGAGTGGAAATTCACTTTAATCTTTTCTACAAGTCAGTTTGAATATATGGTTTCATTATAAATCTTAGAATGAGTATTATGCCAAGCAAGAATAAAACTTACATAAAATAAAATTTCACAATTTTATTAAATTTCATAAAAGTATGAACTTGTTTATTAAATTTCAACAATATATATCATCAATCCAGTAATAATGCTACTACTGAATTTACAGTAATTATAATTTCTCACAGTATACCAAGAATCAGAATAGATTCCCAATCCCACTTATACTATGTTTCCCTTTTACTTATCACATATGAATCTATTCCTGAATTACAAAAAGTTCTGGGCAGCAAATAATTGCAAAGGAACAGAAGGGGATTGCAACATGGGTTCAATTTTATACTTTATGTTTTATTTACAGAGCACCTTTCATCCAGAAGGATCCTTAAGTACTTTATAAACAACATATATGTGATTCATTTCACCTGCCAATGAAATAGTTATTTTTAATGTGGCCTTAGTAGCCAAAGCTAGAATTCCAAAAGTTTTATTAGCAATGTATATTATAAAACTATTTCACAAATCTTACCTTTGTTAGAAGTTTATAAAGGTCAGTGTGTAAAATAGAGCCATCGTCATTTACATCTAATTGCTTAAATGATTTTAGTAGTTCTGCTTTTGAAGTAGGTTTTTCCTTTCTTAAAATTATGCAAAAATCATCAAAATTCAGTTTGGCAGTTTGAGGAGTCCAATACTTATTAATGGTCTTTTGGGATGGATTTCTTCCTGCATGCTGTAGAGCTGCCCAATAAAACAAGTGTTACTTGTTAGAGTAACATTTGGAATTGGTATCTAAGGGTATTTTTTCTTTCAATCATTATACATTACAATATTACACAAAAATACACACACACCTTTGGGGTTGATAATCTAGTGATATCAATGTATGCCTGACTTTCAAAAATGAGAAAATATATGTGTTACCAGCTACAGATTCTTGATCTATTAATGTCAGAATTAAATATTTTTCCTATTCTGACAGTTGGTTCTCAACCTACGTTGTTTAACTGATAACATATGATTTACTTTGTAAAAGTGCCTGAAAAAAAAAAGATTAAAAACAACCATCCACTTAATTGTTTTGAGGACCTAAGAATAACCACAAAAAGTATTCTGGCCCAACAAATAACTTAATGAAATGAGGAAATCATTAATCTGAGAAAATTACTGTCAATAAGGCATGATATCTAAAATGTTCATCATTGTTAGATATTAATCATGAATATTAATCATTAATTCAAGAATATTAATCATGTCACAAATACCAAATATATGCACAAAATTTATCTATTTGCAGTTATAGACTTGCTAAAAATCAAGAATCTCAACATAGTTTGAGAGAAGACTATTATGGAGATGCAATGGTTGAATTACTCTTAATTTTTAACCAGAATCTTTAAAAATAGTCCTATAACCAGTTATTCGTGAGACATTCTTATTTTAAAAGGCATGTCCTTATTTTCTATGAGAGGCAACAAATTACAATGTGAGAAAGGCTTTGTATTTGTGTATATCATACACACTAAAATATAATTGTTTTAAACAATTGTATTTTGTACTGTTTAAAAGAAGTAAACTGGTAATTTGAACTTAAACAAATCTCTACATATTAAGACTTAATACTATCTAAAATGAACCAGTGATAAGATTCCTAAGCACTGTAGATAGAATTAATAAAATTTTAAAGGTACTGTCCTTTGTGCTTAACCAACTTCTTAACCAACTTCTACTATAAAACCTTACATTGGGTATTTCTAACTATCTTAGGTGAGATTTCACAAGATCTGGGCATTGTCAATTAGCACTAAAAAATGATAATCTGGATAGTCCACAATATAATGAATAAGGACTAATATATATAAAACAATTTTTAAAAATATCCTCAAGGAAATAGAAACTAGAGCAGGATAATAAATACAGACATTTGTGAGTCCATTATATTGAACATTCATTGTGTATAAGCATAATACATGGTGGTTTGTTTTTTTTCAGAGATTCAAACTTCTTGGTTCCTAAATTTTATAATCTAAATAGGAATTCCACACCTGAAGTGTAAAATTGCTACCTATGGTCATGATTTAAAGTTAGTAACATATTAGAAGTCCACAGACTAAAGAAATGTTCCCATCCTCCAGATTATGACAGTGCAGCATACCTAGATAACTTTGGCAGAGAAAAGAAAACAAGACGATCATCTCGAGGTGACTTGTAGAGCTAACAGGAGTTGCACCTAGAAAGCCTTTGTGGAAGTTTGTACCAGTGGAGACAATATAATTTTTTTTTACTTCCAAAGGCTAATTTTGGATGTAGACAAAAGCCCTGATTACCATGTTGCCCTAGGAATGAACAAAAGATAAGTATTTTGCCTAGCATAAAAATGGACAATTCCATAATTCATCTATTAAGAGAATCAGGGAAAAGGTACATGTGTTTTAGGATTCCATCACCAGCCACCTTTTAAAAGGTAAGAATACAAGTAGGACCTAAATGAAGTTGTGATTTGAAGTCAAAAGTCCATGTGAAAGAAAATGCTGGGGTGCCTGGCTGGCTCAGTGGGTGGAGTATGTAACTCTTGATCTGGGGATCACGAGTTCAAGCCCCACATTAGGGGTGGAGAGTACTCAAAAAAAAAAAAGAAAGAGAGGCGCCTGGGTGGCTCAGTCAGTTAAGCCTCTGACTCTTGGTTTCAGCTCAGGTCATGATCTCATGGGTTGTGGGATGGAGCCCCATGTCGGCTCTGCACTCATCGGGGAGTCTGCATGAAGATTCTTTCCTTCTGCCCCATCCCCACTTGTGCGCTCTGACTCGCTCTCTAAAATAAATAATGTTTAAAAAAAAGGAAAATGCTATGTTCTGTACAGCTTTGGGAAAATGAGTGTGTAACTCTTTCCCAAATGGCAGGTCAGCATATACTTGGTGCTGTCTTCAATAACAAAATGGTTTTTGGGGCACCTGGGTGCCTCAGTGGGTTAAGCTCCAACTATTGATTTCAGCTCAGGTCATGATCTCAGGGTTGTGAGATCAAGCCCCACACTGGGCTCTGCAGTAGGCATGGAGCCTGCTTAAGATTCTCTCCCTTTCCCTCTGCCCCTCCCCCCTCTAAAAAAACAAAGAAAATACCTTTTTTTAATGAACTATTAATTACAAAACAACTTTCTTAGAATAAAATTATGCCTAAACATGTACTCAGTAAACACACATTCTCGTATCTAAGAAATAGGTATAACCTAGTAATTACTAATCTAACTAAATTTCTAATTTTAGAATTAGTTGGGAGTCCATTATTATGTCTAATAACAGTAAAAAATTTGTAACTGTAAATGCTTAAAAGTTTACACGAAAATACTGATCTTTTGCCAGGGTTTACTTTAAGCTTTGACGTGAGTCTATAATACCTGTATTATTTGTAAGTTGGAAAAAAAAGGAACTCTAAAACTCTGATAATGTTACTCTTCTGTCCAACCTTGAAATGGAATGTCAAAGCACATGTTATATGCATAAATGGCAGAAAGATATAGATGAAAGATATAGTAATAAGAAAGATATCACTTGTTTACCCTACTTTTTAAAAATCTAGATTATCTGAACTCAATCATTATAATGTTACAAAGAGAATTCCACCATAAAACCAAAAGTGTACATAACACTGAAGAGACAAACACTGAATTATCCAGAATATTGTCTAAGACTGGTAGCACCTTAGTAATATATACTTACTGATTCACAAATTAAATGCCATAATAACGAAATACAGGTTAAACTTTTAAACAGGAGATTCATGATCTCAGACTACTTTCAAAAGAATAAAAACTAAAATTACAGTTTATAATAAAATATAAATTTAATGTTTGTATCATTTATAATAAAATATTTTAATATTTTCAATGTTCATATTTCAAATATGGATTTCCTCAAATAGAGATCTTATTGGATACAGACCCAAGACATTACTTCAAAAATATGTCAGAATTTTTCTTTAAGGAAACCGCTTCTAAATTTGGCAAAATAACTCAGTTTCTCCATTCATAAAGTTATTAGCCTTGATGAAATTGACATGAGTATTCAGTGTTATCTGGTATTGTTTACCACTTTTTCAAGAGTAAAGACCTCCAAGTCATTTGATATACCTGGCAAGGACAAAATTCACTGGTTTGAGGGATATTTACAACCAGAGAAATTTTAGATATGACAATGGAGAGAAGCAAAAAAAAGACCAACTTGGGGCGCCTGGGTGGCTCAGTCATTAAGCGTCTGCCTTAGGCTCAGGTCATGATCTCAGGGTCCTGGGATCGAGCCCCGCATCAGGCTCCCTGCTAGGCGGGAAGCCTGCTTCTCCCTCTCCCACTCCCCCTGCTTGTATTCCCTCTCTTGCTGTGTCTCTCTCTGTCAAATAAATAAATAAAATCTTTAAAAAAAAAAAAATAAAGACCAACTCCTACCCCCACCAAAAACAAACAAAAAAACAAAAACAGCACTTCTAAAATTTTACTTATCTCCTAATATTTCTCTTTTACAATCATTCAACCTGTTTTTATATATTCTTTACATTTTCCCCATTATAGGTCAAATTCAGGCTAGTGATTCAGATGTCAAGTGTTTTAAATTCTACTACTATAGAATCTTATAAATCTTATATAAATAAATATATATATCCATATAGAATCTTATATAAATCTTAAAGTACCAAGTAAGAATTTTTAAAAAAATATTTCTAAGCAAGTAATTGATGGAAGCTTTAAAAATACTAATCTAGTCTGTATAAACACTGAATGTTTTATTTTGAAGCTACATAGAATATATAAATATATAAAATGGCACAATAGCATAATGTAGTTCCATTGCTCAAGCTTCCCTAAGAAACTGGGATGATTCAACAATGTAATTCTTATTCCTGTCTTTCTGATCTATTAACTTTCAACAAATAAGGCAAAATATGTATATTTTAAAGAAAAATTTACCCAAGTAAAGTTGTTCTTTAGAAATAATGTTTTCTAAGCTGCTTTTAAAAACAGTTAAGTAGGCAGCTCTACAATTCATATAAAATATCTCTTCTTCAGTTAGTGGAAATTTCTTTGTTCGAGGACTCTCTGAAAGCGCTGACTTCTGACTGGAGAAAGTTGCATCTCTTCCTGGACTGATGGCCATTCTATTAGAAAATAATTTAAAAATTTTAATCAATGTTAATCCCCTAAAATGCAAATGTCACTTTGCCTTTCAAATGGGGGGAAGAGGAATCAAAGCATTACAGTTTTCATATATGGGGAAAAAAGACAAATATAATATGCATATGGTGTTATTATTATATGCTAAATTAGAATAATCCTTTGGCAGTATATATATATATGCATATATATGTGCATATTTTGAAATCAACTATATGAGACAAAATATATATAGAAAATACATATATATGAGAAAGCCAAAAGAATAAAGCCAAAGCAAAGATGTAATATAAAAACAAAATAAGTATCATAGAGGAAAGGAAAAGCACACAACAATACTCTCAAAATAAGAGGACAGTAAGTTGGGGCACCTGGGTGGCTCAGTCGATTAGGTGTCTACCTTCGGCTCAGGTCATGATCCCAGGGTCCTGAGATAGAGTCCCACATCGGCCTCCCTGCTCAGCGGGGAGTCTGCCTCTCTCTCTGCCTTCTCCCCCCCACTTGTGCTCACACTCTCTCTCCTGTGCTCTCTCTCTCTCAAATAAATAAAATCTTTTAAAAAAAGAGGACAGTAAGTTAAGTCTTCATAGGGTTGTCATGAGGATTAAATATGTTAATACACGTGAAACATACAGAACAATGCCTTGCAGTAATAAGTGCTAAATAAACTTTGAAAGAGTGAAACTCTACAACAATGAGAATTTGGATGTAATGTGATTGGCAGTTGGCATCCATCACCTCAGCAGGAGCAACAAGGTCACTTCAGCAACATCTCAATAATGCTGGCCAACATTTTGAATGACTGAATTTTTTGGATCCTATTTAAAGCATTATTGTGAGATTTTACTGCATTCATTACAAATAATGTTGTGAGGTTATATAGTACCTCAGCTCATAAGCCTTAAAGAACTATCGTACATCTTAATTTATCTTTATTACAGTGGTCAGGTATTTTTTGTCCCTTTTACAGATAAGGAAATTGAGAGACAGAGATGTCACCCAGCTAGCAGTAACAAGAGGCAGTAAATTTTGGTAACAGTTTCTTCTTTATTAATGTGAATGAAGGCTTCTTGTACAATAGTTACTATGAGGCACTAAATTGTGCTCCAACAATTAGCTGTTAGTGGTCTAACAGCTTCCAACATTATTTTACCCAGCTTTGACTTCTAAAAATACATTCCAACCTAATAAATTGAATATTTCAAGTTCAACAATAAGACGACACAGGTAGGGTCCCCTTCAGGACTCATTGGATTCTTACTCAGGAGGCCTAAATCACTTGCACCTTCTTGAATTATATAGGTCTTTTACACTTGGGAAAGAAAGATAATAATCGCTTATCATGGATGAAGTACCCTATTTATAATACACAGACTGCCTGCCTGACACTTTCATATTACACCAGATTTAGAAGGACCCCATAGGGATGTGGTGTCACAGTCTGGTTACTGCGAATTGATATCACTATAATTAAGCATCAGTTTTAACCACATATGCGTGCACGCATCTCCTCACAAATGTGGGGGGAAAAAACTGTTCCGATAAGAAAGGAAGAATGAATGTTCATTTTGCAGCAAGCAATTTTTAAATTTAAGTATTTTGGGGGGGAGGGTGGGATCGTCCTCGAATACTCTTTCCAAATAAGGTGACTACCTTACGTGGAAATCCCACAGTAGAAATGTTTCAGAAGTCTATTCTTTCCCTTTTTGTGACGAGAGACCAAACGGAAGCTTAAATAAATATACAACTGCACCCCTCAGGCTTGGAAACCGCCTTCACTTAAAACTCCAGCCCGAGACCAAGACAGGGGCCTACAGAGCACACTGTAGCAAACGGCTCCATAAATAACCCGCCACACAATAGCAAGAAAAATAAACTGTTAACCAGCGCCTAAGGCTTACTGAAGGGCCAAGGGAAACACAGCCGCCCAGTCCCCGGCCCTACACGCTGAAATACGTTCACAGCTGATCTCGGGCAACCTCTCTGTTTTTTGATTTCTCTACGACGCAGATGCGGTTTTACGTACACTTTAGGTACACACGGACCCAGCGTTGGTATGGCAAGAGAAGTAAAAGAAGCAGGTGAGAGGGAAGGAAGCCGGACAGCGAGGCAGGGCGCAGCGCAGACACAGAGACAGCCAGCTGTTTGCTACCTAATTCCAGCTCACACGCGAGGAAGCACAGCCAACTCTCTCCACGGATTCCGTGATCCTGTCACCGCAGCGCAACCGACCTCGGCCTTTCCTTTAATTACCATGGCAACTGCGCCTCTCCGCCACCGGAAATAAGATTCAGAGCACCTCCCCAAACGGTCCGGGTAGAAATCTAGGGAGGTGAATCCGGAGAGGACAGATACTGCTGTGCAGCTCGTCTGTCGGGGTCTGGAATGGCCAGAGTGAAGAGACGGTCCTGTGGTGCGCTGGCAGGGACGAGGATGAGGTCCTAGGTCCTTAATTAGAGTCTCGTCTCCTCTCCCCCTTACACTCGGATCCCTTGGAGGGGGGAAGGTGTTTCCAGCGGTCCACCTTGCGTGTGACACCGCGTCTGGCGTCCGCAGGCCCGCGCTTTTCAGACTGCGGCGTCGCCCTCCGAAGGTTCTCTGCTTTAGGAAGAGGTGGCCCAGTTCCTTTTATCCCGCGGTGGTGCGTTCCTGAGTGTCGAAATGCCGTAGGTATCCACCCTCCCCCACCCCATTGCTGTTTCTTGGGTCCCTTTGTGAACAATAAGAGTAGATATTAAGTTGTCCTTAAAAATAAAATCCTGTTACTTTACTAGCAAAAATGGGTTTATTCTGGAATAACAAAGCATTTCAGTTCGCTGCGTGCAAGCTATGGCTAAACCATAGGTAAGTTCAACAAAGGAGAGAATGATTTTATGGAGTAGAAGGAAGAAGTTGGGAGGGATTATTTTGACCCAAAGTCCGTGGGAGAACAGTCAGTTCAGGTTCAAGGTGACGGTTTCTCCTTGGCTGAGTTGCAGGAGTGGTCTGTATTTTGTAGGAGGTGCAGTGTACATCCTTCCCTATTGGGACCTGTAATCAATGGTTCTTTCCTATTGAAACTCTTCTGTTGGGGTCTGTAATTGATAGTTCTTCCTATAATTGACGTTCAGTGGTATGAGATCCCCTTTTAGCCTCCCCTTCTATCATCTCTTCTCCACTTTAATGAGGTTTCCCCTTTATTATTTTTCACATTTCCTCCTTTTGGTCAAGATCTTTCTCCAAAAGCATCGCTGATTGTCAGGTTCTTCTTAATTCAGTGACCTTTTGTCCCTTAGTGCCAGGAAGGATATTTCCTGGGTGTTATGTCCCACTTTGGAGGGAAATTGTACAAATTGGAAACCTATTGAGGTCAAACTTGAGTAACGAGGCGTAGCAGGGAGAACTTTCAGGCATTTCCCCATCTATAGTCCGTATTTATCAAAATTGTAAGCGTTGGAGATCGTCTGAGTACATCATTTTTAAAAAGATTTGACAGGCAACAAGTACACAATTGAAAGTAACATGACAATTCCAAATTTTGTGATGGTTCTAAACCAGGATCCTAGATATGAAAGTAGCCAACTAAAAATATTGGCACTTATTCCAACTTAGGGGAGAAAAGTTCCCCCTGCTGAGGCAAACAGAGTCCTGTATGCTTCCTACTTAAAATGGTCATGAAAGCAGAATGGTGATTACTGCAAGAGCACACCGAAAGAATTATCTTGTGCATTTGAGAAGATACAGTGTAGGTATAAACATGAAGCAATAGCTGGTGAACTTTTTGCAAAACAGCAAAACTTCAAAGACCTTTTAAAAAGTATTGTTATCTCAAAAGAACTGTTGGAACCAAGTGTGTTAATAATATGGTAAAGTTGAAAATTCGGAAACCATGAATTTTGGATAAGAATCCAGAGTTAGTTAATACTCTAGATGAAGAAGAGAGACTTCTGTAATTCCTGAACCTTCTAACAGGCCTGGTCCAGACATCTTGGGAAGTCTGTGTCATCAGATGTTGTCTGCTTCAATTCTAGGAAATCTTTCTGGTCCAGTCAGGGTTTGATGGCTTTCTTTAGATGTGCCACATGAATCCAAGAGTCCGTTCCTTGAGGTTTGGCACACAACGGTTGGCTAACAGTCCCTGAGAGGGGGCTTTCCAGCAAGGTTGAAGGGAGTCTTTCAGGAGGTGTTTTTTTGTCTTTTTTTTTTTTTTTTTCCAATAGATGAAATCTCCAAGTTGCAAGATGTGGTGCTTAAAGTTTTTGTCTACTGAGAGTGCACTGTGAAAAGATTGCTCTACCAAAGCATAGTTAGTTTTGATAGAAGCAGTTAGGCCTTTATAATATTGAAGTATAATCTCCTTTTATCAACTGTGGGTCAAAGGAATCAGGAGCCAAGTGCATTGGATGTCCTGTGACTGTCTCAAAGGGTGAAAGTCTATGAGTTCGCAAGGGAAGGGGTCTGATATTTAGAAAGAACAAAGGCATTGCTTTAGGCCAAGATACTTGGAGGGTCTTTACAAATTTTGCCAATTGAGTCTTAATGGTGTCAGTAGTGTGTTCAACTAACCCTGAGGATTGATGATGGTATGCACAATAAAAGTGTTGTAAAACTAGCCAAACAGCACAGACTTGTTAAAGCACCTAACTGGTAAAATGGGTTCCCCAATCACTGAAGTTCAAGAGGGGTTCCCCAGGTAGGGATAATTTTTTTCTAACAGAATTTCTGCCACAGAAGAGGCAGTGGCCAGTCTACAAAGGAAAACTTTAGTCCAGTGAGGAAACATACAAACCATAACTAAAGCACATTTAATCCATTAGATGGGGAAGCTGTATGAAATCCATTTGTGAAAACTGAATGGCCTTTGAGGTAATTTAAGTGTTGGAGAGCTGTGCAGACAGGTTTCCCTGCATTGTGTTTTGGACAGGTGAGACAAGTGAGGTGGGCACTTTTTGTGACCTCATTAATATTTCCTCACCAATGTGGGTTTATGAACACTATCATTTTGTTAGTAGACCAGTGGTTTAGTGCATGTACAGTGGTAAGTAGTGGGAATTTTAGAATTTCTGGTAGGGCCAGATTGTTAATTTGTCCAAGTCAGTTTTTTCTTTTTATCAAATGAACAATTATTAGATTTCCAATTTTTTCTTCTATTCTGGGGCCCATTGTTAGACGTTTCTGGTCAATTTTTTGACCTTGAGAGCAGCATTTTTGGCAGAAATATCAGCAAGGTGGTTTCCTTTGGCCTCCAGGGAGTCAAGTTTAGAATGCTGGGGACCTTAACAGCCAGAGCAGGCAGCAAAAGTATGGCATCAAATAAATTCTAGACATAGGAACCATTTTTAACTTTATCCCCATTGGGGTAAGGAAACCTCATTGTTTCCATAACCTACCAAAGTCTTGAGCCACCCTAAAGGCATAGTGGCTATTGGTATAAGTGTTTGTGGTTCTACCCTTGGCTAAGGTACAAGCTTGAGTAAGGGTGTATAACTCAGATTGTTGGGCCAAAGTAGCCAGAGGGAAAGGTGCTACCTCAATGACTTCAAAGGAGTTGCAGTAACATACCGGCACAGTACTTACCATGTGGTATGTATATGGTATACCATTTTCATCCTTTACATAAGAACCATCAGTAAACCATGTAAAATCTGTATTGGTTAGAGGAGTTTCCTGTAAATTGTTACAGGGAGTCAAAAGGTGATCTGTCAGCGTTCCCTGTTGGGAATTAGAAGGACATTGGAAAGTCTGGCTTAAAGGGCTCAAGGCACCTGGAGCACTTAAGTTTGTAACAGTCTTTTTTCCAGTGTCCTGGCCCTTTGCAATAATAGCAGAAACTAGTGGGGAAGGAGGGTTGTTTGTTTTGTTTAGGGGCTTTCATTTGCTGGAGTTGACAATTGAGAATTTTAGACGTCTTTGTTTTAAATTACTCATCTAGGGTGTGGGTGAGCTGGTTTGCCAGGTTAACTAAATCTGGAGGGGACATGGTTTCCCATTCTATCCTCATCCCTTTAACTAAAAGAGAAAGATTCTAGTTTAGTCCATTAATAAACATAGAGTTAAATGCTACCTGGGTAGATTGACCAAGTTATTTAAACTTACCAACCTGGTTTCTCAGATTTCTGTTAGTTAGCCCTCGTGCTTGTGTGAGGACCAGGCCAAACACTGGATGAAACTAGCCCAGTGGGGACACCCTAAAAGGGATTTAGAGAAACAGACACCAATCTTTGGCAAGATGCTAGAACAATCTCTGGAAATCTCCACCAAGCAATTATAGTAGCTTTTCCTAAGCCTGCTAATTTTGTTTGGCTGAACAAAATTCAGGCTTGCACACAAAAGCCTGACAAACATATACATAACTGTTAAACTCAACACCAAACAGTCTTTTTTTTAACTTTTTTTTATTATGTTTTATTAATCACCATACATTACATCATTAGTTTTTGATGTAGTATTCCATGATTCATTGTTTGCTTATAACACCCAGTGCTCCATGCAAACAGTCTTTTAAGAAAATTTTGGTCTTCTTCTAGATGTTGAATTCTTCAGCAAACCCATTGGTGTCCTCAGTCACTTTAGGAAACTTTACAGCTTGTAATTTGGCCTTAGTCCAGAGAGCATAAGAAATTTGAGGTTTATTAGGATCCTCAGAAGACTTAACTTTAAAGGGGCAGGTTTTAACAGGCTCAGGAGAGTAGGGAGTGGGGAAAGATTTGGAGGAAAAGGGAAATTTGGTGAAAGGATTAGCATGGGGGACAATAAGGGAGATGGTGATGGTGCCGAGAAAAATGGCACCAGAGGTAGAGACAGAACAGGATATCTGCCACATGTCCTGAGACAAAGAAGATGGAGAAGGCAGAAAAGAGGCTTCAGAGCCCTTATTTCTTTCTTTCTTTGTTTACTTCAGTTAGTCTAGAAATTGTATTTTGCAGAGAAGCAATTTTAGATTTCCAATAACTTTCGGAAGCTTCAAAATACTAATCAAAATAGGCATCCCATTCAGTTTTGACAATTTTAGAGCCGTGGCTGTCCAATTTAGTTTTGAGAAAAGTTAAGTTTGGAGAGAGAGAAAGTTTCCCATAATGGCCATTGAAGTTCTAAATTACTTTTGGTAAGTCATTTCATTTAAGGAAGGACCACAGTTTTTAAACATAAAACCAGCTGGGGTCCCAGAAGTGGGGGGAAGAAGTGGGGTACCCTCAAATCATTTTGATGACTAGGATCCCATTTCTTAAATATTTATATACACACACACACACATATATATATATATACAATTTTTTTTTTTTTAGCAAAAAAGAAAAATTCCTAAACAGCACAGTTTCAGCAGGAACAGCCTGGTTCCAAAATAGTAACTTTAAGTGAAGTAAAGACTCCAATGAAAAGGTAGAGAATATCAGAC